CATATATTGTTTGGTAGATAGACTGAATAGCCGGTGCAAAACCTTTGACGGTGTTGTATGCCAGCTCCGCGTGGTTGCTTGGTATGTAGTAAGCCATTGGGAGAGTTTCGGATGAGATTGCTTCTCTGACAAGATGCTCCCAGCGATTTTGGAAGATGACGCCTCCTAAGGCGACGCCAAATGCCATTCCGAGACTTCTAGAAAAGACTTGCATAGTGGTCGCCACGCCAACATCTTGGAGGCGCTGTTTTGCTTGGACAGCGAAGAGTGGCGTCGGAAAGAGAAGACCAGCACCAACGGCCGCAATGCAGCGCGGACCAAAGATTTGTCCCTTGCTGCTGTCGGCACGTAAGGTGAGAACCTAGTGAGATGGTAAGCAAATGATGTGGAACTAATCTTGTCAGGCAGACACGTACGTTCAAGCCTGTACCCAGCGCGGTCATGAACCAACCAGCAACAATCAGGTACTTGAATCGCATGGTTCGTTTGACAATGATACTGGCTATAACACCAGCAGGCGCAACAAACGCTCCATACGACAAGGTCTCAGCAGCAGAGCGAAGTAAGCTATGTTGTTGACCCCCTAGGAACTGAAGAAAGCATTAGCGGATCGTATGGCCTGAGTCCAAATGAAGTTCTCCTTACGAATATGATCATGTAATACATGCTGCACCATAATATCATGCCTTGTAGAAAGCTCGTCGTGAATCCAATACATGCTGGGATATTGTGAAATATCTGCAAAGGCATCATGGGAAATTGCGATACACGCCATTCGATGAAGACGAACACAACATAAAGGCTTGCGCCGACGATCAAGGGTACCAATGTAGCAGCTGATCTCCAGGGGTGTGAAACGCCACCAGATGTAAGACCGACAAGAAGCAGAGTGGTCGCAGCTGTGAAGATCCCTAGCCCGAGCCAATCGATTCGGCGAACTTTGAATAGAAATGAATCTTGATCTTTGCGAAGTTTGAGCGAATAAGACAAACCACATATACAAAAAACACAGATGGGTACATTGAGCCAGAAAGCTGCGCGCCAAGTGGTGTATTCAGCGATGGCTCCTCCAATGGGCACCTACTGAAGTTAGCAAACTCATCTCTGGCAAGTGGCAGATGGAGGAGTTGTCACTTACACCAGCGATTGTCCCGAACGCCCATCCGAAGGGAAGACATGGCTATGTAAGCACCACGCTCTTGCATTGTTGTGATGTCCGAAATGATGAGCTGTACCAACTGAATAGTGCCTCCGGCGCCGATGCCTTGGACAGTGCGAGCGCCGATTAGCCAAGTATGAGATTTTGCAGTGGCACTTAGTATGGAGCCAAGCAGAAAAGAGATATAGCCATCAAGATAGGCACCTTGCGACCAAAGATCTCGCTGGCCGTTCCGAAAAAGGGGATTGTCGCAGTTTGTCCAAGCAGGAAGGAAGTACCCACCCAAAACGTCTCCACGCTTGTACTTTTCAAATCGCGTGCAATCGCAGGCAGACAAGCAGACACGATAACAGCATCCAGCGCAGCTAGGGCTGCAACAAGGCAGAGAAAGGCGATAGTAAGCTTGAATTTGACAGACTTCTTCGTGGGTGGTTCTCGGTGAGACTGAGCCTCTTCACTGCCCTCACCGCTGGACCGGCCTGCGACTTCGATCGATGGTTTCGAGAGAGCATGATCACCCATGACTGAGAAAGGACTCGGTGTGAACAGAAGGTGTGACTATGAGTTGGGACTAACAGGATGTAAGCAGCAGAATGGCAGTCATGCATGAAGAAATCCAGCACGACTTTCTCCCGGCATTCTCCACGGGACCTTGTCGCCAGCGCTAATCACCGAGCCCGGGCGTGAGAACGAGCTTGCATGGACCAAGTCTGTTAACGGACAACCACGTGATCTTTGAAGGATGCACTGGAGCAACACAGACTATCTCTCGCGCCTAGGTGAACGGCAAAGTCTAAAGACGGCAGAGTTCTTGATCAGTAAGATTGTTGACCCACGCTCAGACCAGAAAAGTAGCGACAGAACCGTAAAAACGACCACCGACCTTGCTGAAAAGTCATGATAACCTTGAAGCACAGGCGTGTCTTGATTGACTCTACCGGAACGTTTGCGCTGGTCCGAGTTTAGCTTCGGGAGTGTACCGAGACAGCAACGGTAGCGCAAAGTTCAACCAGAAAAGATACAGGGTGGGACCCCACGATGCGCGCTAGGAAGACGATGGCGTGTACCACGAGCACATCAGCTTCAATCAGCAGCTGCCAGAAATTCAACAAATTCAGAGACCAGAAGCTCGAGTCTTCCAGCGCAGGTCATGACAAAGAGCCCAATGCCTGAACTTCCGCAGCTCCTTGGTGTGACAAGCGAGCCCTGGTCACACGAAGCGTTCGTCATCCATTAACGTTCACCACACGATAGCCAATACTTACCATACTGCATTGGAGCTAAAGCTAATGATAGCAATGGATACATTGTGTCATTATAATGCTAGTTCCCCGATCTCAAAATCCTTAGCGATCCGTATCAGGATGATTTCGAGACGATGGAAAGAATAATGGAATGTGAGTAACAGGCCTGGAGCGCAAATGGGAAGCTTTACAGATGACGGAGAAGCTAGTTTTCGGCTGGCCAAGGATATGAATCACGCCATGGATATTCTGGCTATGGATGGAGTGGACTTATCAGGCAGACTAGAGATACCTATCTACCACCTCGTGCCCGGCTCTCACAGCGTATTCAACTAGCTCAAACATATTGAGACCAGACGCGAAGTATGTGGAGTTGCTTCCTTGCAGATCTAGGAACTTTCGGTACCATCCCTGCTTCCAATGCAGAAAGAGGAATGTGAGGAAAGTAGTCTACCTTGTCGAACGCAACAATCTCCTGATCATGTACAGGCTCGACAGCGGAAGCAGGGTTATTCGGGTCTTTGTTGATTCGGGATAAAGTGTGTTTGAGAAGCTCAAGAGCTGTAGACGTGCTGACGTTGCCTTCCATCGCGTCCCAGGAACCGACATTCGTTATTTCGGATGTTGAGTGAAGCTTTACAATCGTGATCGGTTGGCCTACGCCGTCTGGTGGTGACATCGGTGAACTTCCTTGGGCCGTAAGCGTGACTCCAGATGGAATCTTTGTGCGAACGGCACTCGACCAGTAGTTGTTGATACGAACATGACGAAAGATCGACGCTTCGGCTTTGGTTAGATGGAGTCCTGCTGTCATCAGGGCGTTCACAGTCGGTGGGAAAGCAATGATGACAGCGGAACATCTCTGGGTCTCCGTTTTGTTCGTTTCTTTCGCTTGGAAATTTATGATGGGGATATGGCTGGAACGATCTAGACATAGCTGTGAGCAATCGGGCGGTCATTTTATCTTGAATTTACGAACCGATATCGTTTACAGTGACACCAAGGCGAACACGTTCTCGGAAGTTAGTCGTCGCATAGCGTATGAAGACCTCCTGAAAATCTTCAAATACATTAGTGTGACTCCCGCTGATACAAAACATTGCTTACCAATGATGTCTACAGCTTGACCTGAGCTGACCTGAAGAAGTAGCTGTGCGACATCTGGCGTGAAGTACTGTAGCATGTACATCTAGGAAATGTCAGTTTGGCCATCATCCATGACACACCGAATACTTAGCGTACTATCGGTACGTATCGGAAGTCGCCATATCCGTAAGCCATAATGATCTTAGAGAAAACTATGGGCAAAGTTTTGTATTCATGCTCGTTCAGCCACTGAGCTGTTCCAACCATGTACTCTTCTGGAATTCCATTCTGGTTTCATAAGCCACATCGTCAGGAGGATTGGAACGAGCTTACTTTATATCCCGTTTCATCGTTGTATGGTGCGAAGTTGGCTTGCCACCATCTGACGTACCGTCCAAACTCGTGATTGAGCAGCTCGAGGAACTCTTTAGAAGGAGGGAGAGTGCGACTGAGATTACCTGTTGACCAGTCGTAGCTCCACTTGTCGCCCGATCTGAAAGACACAGGTTGTACACCAACAGAACTGATGACTTTCTGAGACTCTCTGTAAGTGGGTTTTGAATACATAAATGCACCCAGAGGAATGAAAGTGTTACTACGAGGAATTAGTGTTACTCACGTTAGGCTTCTCGATTCTTACTTGTCATATAATGATTGACACTTTCCGCCTACTTTGTGCTGTTTCTCAAACACCAGAAAGTCTTTGCCTTGATCGTGTAGTCTTCCTGCGGCTGCAAATAGCAGGGCCCGCTCCGATGATGCAGATTGGCTCAGCATTTGGACCGCCCCAGATGGAATAGAAGGATATTGCGACAACTGCAAAGACGAATGCTATCGAAAACATGCTGTTTCAATGATCAGAGCGGAACGAGTTGGAAGTTCGAGCATTCAGAGTACCCATGGCTCCCACACTTATAAGAAAGCCTGACCGAGACGTCTCGGAGCTCAGACACTATTCTGTGACTGTCGTGGGGCATTGAATTTTTTCACGCCACGACCTTCCTCCGATCAAGTGCTATCTCACACCTAGCAACGTCGTATTGAGGCTTGGTACCAACGCCTTTGACCATGCTAGCTTGCGCCAGCACTCAGACACCAGTTGTCGTTTTGCGGGTCAGCACACATAGGAGGACTAGGGAATATGACACGCTAGACTCGCATCGGTAAGATCAAGGTCTGGCCTTGGGGCTTCGAAGAATACAAGAGTCGTCTATTGGCTTCCAATGTGGAGAACAATTTTGGATGGTACCGGCTCCTTCGGCGAATCTGTCTGTTGTAATCGCGCTCGACTCAGATGGCTGTGTCTGAAGTGTCGCAGCCTAAAGCGGCATCTCAACGATGGACTTCAAATTTTTGTCCGTCACACGGCTGAAATGATTGTTCATCCACAATCCGTGTACCCCAAAGAATTTCAAGCACCCACAAGAACGGCCGGAACGAATCAATACGACTATACATAGCTCACCCAACGAAAAAGTCGCTCAACAGCCCACAACAAGCAGCCTGAACTCTCAGAGTCTCGACTTTGTTGTGAAAACCTTGGTTTCCAGCCATTTATGCACGGAAGCATACACTTCCTCGCAGACTTCTCTACGTTTTGCAGATCCTTGACCCCGTTTCTTTCGAAACTCATCGGTAAATCCATGCCTCACGCCCATCGCGAGAACCCACTTATAGGTCCCCTTTTCCCAACCTTGGTCCCAACCTGTCTCTGGGACGTCTTCTCCAGCAAGCGAATAGATCATGTCTCGAGATTCACGACAGAGCATATCATGTTGCGCTCCAATCAGACACACCCATTTGGGTAGTTCTTCTCTTTCGGCATAACAAGGACTAAGCAGTTTTGCTTTCCGGTTCTGGCCCGAGGGAACATAGGCCCAGTCCAAGGCTGGACCAGCAGTATTGAGTGATTCAGTCGCCTTCTCCGTGTAGAGTCGTTCGGCCCATTTGACATGCGGAGGGGCACTCCAGTCTACAATTGGGAAATAAGATATCGCAGCGGTAATTCTGCCCCGCAGCTCGGGCAACTGGCAAGATGTCAACGCTAGTTTACCGCCAGCACTGAAGCCAGCCATGACTATGCGTGATTTGTCGATATTCAATGTTCCGTCGTCTATAACAGCACGTGCGACTGCAGCGACGTCGATCACGGGGACAGGGAACCGATAGATTGGTGCTTTGCGGTAGTTGAGACTTGCCACTATCATCCCCGTACGCTCGCACCAGGACTGGCAGAATGAATCGTCAATCGAAGCATCACAGGTCGCAAATGCTCCTCCATGAATGCTGATGTAAAGTGGAAGAGAGCTCTGATCTCCTTCGCGCCGAGACTTAGGCACAAAGATGCGTACAGGAAGCTGTGGTCGGCAGGGGTAGGATTTGGTGAAGGTCGGTCGGATTTCAGGCGTTGGATAGAAGAGACGTAAATAGGCCAATTGTACTGCGATGGTGATTTTGACAGTCCAGACCAAGAGGAAGTAACGAAGACGGCAGCTGAGATTTGCGAGCTCAGCAGGTAATGGGGTCGAATCTCGTGAATTGAAAGTCTTAGATAGTAGAACCTCAGCTTGTTCGTCGAGTTGTACCTCTCTCATCCTGAAGAATGTGCCTTGTAGCAAGACAGAATTCAGTACGCAGAACGCCAGATTAGAAGAGATTAGAATAAGGTCACATCCGAATTCACGGCGAGACTCGTTGATTTTCAATCTTTTGGCCCGCTGAACGAAGAAAAAACTTCTCGGAAGGAAGCGGAGATCATCTCGAATGTTCAGTATGAATCGAGTGCACTTGCAATAATACCAACTAACGTCCATCTTGGCGCCCCACGGGCGGCTGCCGACGGTTCTGTTGCATCGGGGCCACTACGAACGGGTCCAGCGAATCTCACTAGTTTAGTTCAACGGCTCGGTACCATACCTCGGGCCGACCATCGGCTCGAGTTTCAATCCTTGACAAGCCAAGAGCCTATCAATCTAACGACTCGCACCATATCGATACTCAAAGGATTACTCTCCCAAATCTGTTCCAGCACATGTTTGAAGAGATGCTTTTGTAGATTGTAATAGGAGCTAGTCTGTCAAATCTTTGCAAAACAATAAGCTGATGAAACTTCATATGAGGGCGTATGGAAATCATATCGCAGTGTTCCTGCTTGCGAGGTCTATGATCTGGGACAGTAGCCTCTTGACTATAGAGATGCCAACGCAGGTGGACACAGCCGCACAAAGCTGGTACAGGGCGCAAACTTGGGTAAGACTAGTACGTGCTAAGTGCATGGGGATTATTCCCAAGGAAAGATCCGGCCTCAAAGGTCAATTGTACAATATATTGGCCCACAGCGTTCACAAAGTCCTCAACCAGAGATTGATTACTAAAGTTTGGGAATCGAGAATCCTACCACGGTTCTCAGGGAACTTCCAGGTCCACCGGATCCTCTCCAATCATAGAGTAGCAGAAACCACAGGCTAAAGATTTTCATCGTTAAAAACCTTCCGCTTCGCTCGGTCTTCTGATTTCAACTGTGGTTCTTTCCATCTACCCTGCATACGGACTATGAGTCTTTCGATCAGAAGCAATCGGCAATGCGCCGTGCTTGCCGCCAATCAGTCACATGGACAACATGTTGATCTTCATGGCACGAGGTTTGACGTCCCCAACTTCACCATGAGGGATATTCGAAAAGCCATTCCCAAACACTGCTTCCAACGTTCGACGATTCGTGGACTGAGTTATGTCTTGCGCGATCTTCTCTATCTGGGAGTAACAACCTACACGATTCACACCTACACCCCATTCTTGGCTGGCCCGACTATTCGACTTGTTGTATACACATTCGGCACAGCACTATCGGGAATGATCATGACTGGGATCTGGATTCTGGCCCATGAATGTGGCCATGGCGCCTTCAGCGACTCAAAGTTCATCAACAATCTTGTGGGTTTCTTGCTCCATTCATTCCTTCTTGTTCCTTACCACAGCTGGCGTATATGTCACTCGCAGCACCATAAAGCCACAGGCAACTTGCAAAGAGATAATGTCTTCGTGCCTCGCACAAGAAAGGACTGGATCAAGCACAGTCACGGCTCCGACAGTGATCCATACAGTATCACGTTCGCTCGTCTCGCGGAAGATGCTCCTTTGAGGACACTATATCATTGCATACTACATCAGTTGCTTGGTTGGCCTGCATACATGCTCATGAATATGAGCGGCCAACAGATCAAAAGAGGCTTTCCATATGGTAGCCACTTCTGGTTCGGGGTCCAGAGCGTGCTGTTTAAGGAACACGAATTATCCTTGGTCTTCTGGAGCGATCTAGGGGTGGTCGGCATGCTTGGTATGCTTGCATTTGTATATTCGTTATATGGATGGTGGCCGGTCGCTGTCCTCTATTTTATTCCCTATCTATGGCTGAATCACTGGGTTGGTAAGCGTCGATTCTACGTGCTCAGGATGTAACTAGCAGAACCTCTGACCGACCTGNTAGTCATGATCACCTATCTCCAACACACAGACGCTCGCCTACCGCATTATGCAAACTCACAATGGACCTTCGCAAGAGGAGCTGCAGCGACCATCGATCGAGATTTTGGCTTTATCGACACTCATTTGTTCCATAATATCGTGAGTACCCACGTATGCCACCATTTGGCTTCAGTCGTGCCATTCTATCATGCACAGGAGGCAACAGCAGCGATCAAGAGGGTCATGGGTAGGCATTACCAGGCTGATACTCAGACCCCACTCCTAAAGGCCTTCTGGAACACGCAGCGAGATTGTCAATTTGTCGAAGAAACAACTGGAGCTGTTGGATCAGGGGTCTTCTTCTTCCGTAATCTTCACGGTAGAGGCACGCTACCGCGCGATCTGATGAGTTGAGTAAACACGAACGTGTAGCAGATGAAGAGACTGGCTTTCTGGGCAGATACTATCTCAGCTCACTGTCGTTTCAATTATGTGGTGCTTCGGGACTACAGCTGTATATAGCAGATTATAAGAAGGCAAGACGCTTATGATCATTCCAAAAGATCGAGAAGTGAGCCCATTATATTCTGGGTCCATCGAATCACAACGAAACCCCAAACAGAGTACTGGAAAAGACTGTTCCCCAGCCATTCAATGGCAGTGGCTGGGGCGGGTTTCTCCGATCCCTTACAGGCCCGCGGAATCTGCTTCCTCGTAGCTCACTTTAGCTAAGAATGTCTATGCCACGTCTAAAATTCCAAATGCGCATAAGCACAGCGCGAGTCCCGGTACTAGTGTGCTATGTTATATTGATTCCTAATGCTGCGCGAAGCAAGCTCGTCGCATAGACTGATTGCTGTCCTGGGTAACTTGCGATCTATCTTGCGTCATCGAGAATGTCCTGCGCCACCGTTCTTCACGATCCTGGCTCATGACTATGTCTCCTTACTTTTGTGCTCATTTCCCCGTCCGTATGCGGCCTTACCATGCTTTTACACGCCTTTGATCACAGAGCATATGTGTCTGTCTCTCCCAACCTACAGATCCGCAGTCAGGGCGCCTGAAAATGTAACTGTGCAGCAGTTTGTCGAGGAGTGTAAAGTTTCCGCAAGTCTCCGATCCAGTTCTGGTGGAAATCAAGTAAACCCGCCAAAAGAGAGATGAACTCCGTCCTATCAAAGCGGATATAGACACATTCTCTGTCTGATCGTGTCAACGTGCGCTTGACAGGGTCTAGAGAGGATTGGATGGGCATATCCTCGACCTCATGAAGCTTTTCAATGACTGTGGAAGACATCATTCCTCCCGAAATCTGGCAATTTTGGTAAAGAAGATGATCATGTCCGACAGTCAGGCTTACGAAGCTGCTAGATCGCATAGCTCGGTGCTAGTCCCTCTCTACAACTTACTGATGAGATGCGAATGCCTCGAGCAGTTCGAGGATACGGCTAGCATGATAGTACATTCGAGCACCAGCTCTAGATTATGCTTAATGTGGCTTCTCGTACAGCCACAGACCTGTAGAGCCAGTCAAAGATTGGCGATTTTCGGTTTGACGAAGAATCTATCGTTGTCCATCAAACCAGGAGAATCGTCAGCAATATAAGTCTGTCGGCTGACAGCACTTCACACCGTCGAGTATTAGTACATCCGCTTACTGATCTTGTCAGCTCTATTTTGCCTTGTGGTGCAGCATCATGCTGCCTTTGATCCTAGTAACGCTTGCTTTGCGCTCAGGTGCGAGTGATTTGGCTACAACGTTGGATCTCGACTTCGGTGTCCCAGACATATTAGTCTTACGTTGTTCAATCCAGTGCATGCACTCTTTCTCTCGACGTCGGCTGGCTGGTCAATGGATGGAAATGGTCTACCGGTTGACCTCAAAACATACCTGCCATTCTCGCTATGTGAAGAATATTTGACATGCTTGGCCTTCTTCCCATAGATGGTTGGGCGTCTGTGCGGTCTTCGTATACACACTGCCGCCTCACTTTTACTCGTTTTTCCACCCGTGTATGGTCTCACAATGGTTCTGTATGCCTGGAATCGTATAACATATGTATCCACACTTGTTGCCTATACTTTTGGTTGATATGCAATGAAATTCATTGTGGTATACTGGACATCCCACCGACTGGTGGTAAACTTGGCTCTGGGTAAGAGAATTTTCGAATAACGTTTTTGTGAGCTTGTTTAACAATTCTATTGTCAAAGGGATACAGCTCTTGCGGATTCTTCCATGAATTGGTTCGCATGGAGTCCTCAACTAAGATGAACATTACTCATTCGTGCCATGATGGACACCAGAGAGATTGGCTTTCCGAGTTCGGTTTGCGGCAAGCTAAGCACAATAGGTTCTGAGTGTGTTGCGAAGCGTGCCCAGCCTCAAATCCGACTTCGGTCTCAATGTAAGCTCCACCATGATCTTCCGACTCAGGTTGTCACATTCGATGTGACAGCAAAACAGTTTGCAGAGATATCAATCTGTCCACCTGGAGATTGTCTCTGTACTTTGACATGCTCGTTGTCAGCCTGCGACTATGGAGCTAACGCGATCATCTGGCTGCTCTCTCCGACAGGCTATTGCAACTCTTCAGTCTCCTGACTCGTTTCTTCTTGCCCATGATGGCTACGGAGTGCTCTTCGAGTTGAGCAATGAGATGCACAAGGGTACGCGAGGTTGCTGTAGGAGTTCCATATGGCTTAGAGGCCATTCTCATGAACAACGTCGAATCTGATGAATCCAATCTCCTGCGATACTGCGGCGCTCCTTCGCGAGAGTTGTCGGCTAAGCCGCAGCTTTGTTGGAATCGAGTCTGTAGGCATCGCCTTTCATGATTTGCGGCACCATCTTCCGAGTCTTATCTCACTAAGCTTTTGCCACCTTCTGGTAACATAACTTGAGGATTTTTCACCGTAGAGCACTGCACAAGCATTTACCAGCTTGCACCTAACTGCTCGTAATTCTTCTGATGAACAATATCCGACGAGCAAGTAGGTATTTTAAGGATGTGTTTTAATCTTCTCTATACACTATCGTTCGTGTATAGTGCTAAGATGACCTGGTTGGCTACGGGCCAGATCTGAATAGCAGTCTTGTTTTGTCCATTATAGTATAGTTTGTACTTTCTTTCCATGTAGCGAAAAGCTTGAGTTAGTGTGGAAAGAAATAGTGCTACTGCGATTATTTAAGACCAAGGAGGTTTAGAGCCAAGAGCTTATGGACATTTGAGTTCGTCGATCCTTATTAGTGTACAACAGACAGCGAAATTTCTTTGAAAATATGACACTATATTGTGTCGTCGAAAATCATGGCTTCCGTTGCTTCCACTTGTGTTGTGATCCACAAAAGAGCCATGGAAAAGCAGATGGTAATCTTAGTCTCAGAAGGCGAGAAATATAAAGCAGAATGCTGCGCGCGAAGACAGGCTGCACGCGAAGGACGATTTTGATTCATAAGCAAAGGCAGATGCCCCAGCTCCCACTATCACTTTGTCTCCTGCAGTTCATTAGGACGTGACTGTTAGACCGCGGCACCTAGTTCCTGCAAACCAGCCCGCACCGCTCTACTACAATGACGAGGGCCCTCGTGCTGATCCGAATGTTGCTCACTCATTCGGTACCCTAGACATCAACTACAAGGTTCCTACTATCAACCTTGGCCACACGGATGGTATAACCTCGATTCTCTAACCTTGTTGTCTTCCTTTCATCTCTCCTCGATTCCAGAGCCAAGGCTCCTCTTCCTCGTTCTACAAAGCCTGGGAGGGTGGGTTTCACACGTTGTCTATGCAGCGTGCGGGCAAGGGTATGTTAGAGATTGTCCGAGTCGCTCGAAGACGCTGACGGCTATGTTGCCTTTGTATCTGGCTTTGCATTCATTAATCTAGTTCGCCTTTCCCATTGCCATCTTTGTCTGTGTTGTACCTCTTTGCCTGTGTTGTACCTCTTTGCCTGTGTTGTACCTCTTTGCCTGTGTTGTATCTCTTCTCCTGCTTCGTCTCATACTCGCTACCGTTCGACAAACGAATTGCCCTCGAAACATCGACATATTCCGCAGGGACTCGGTTGTACCGCCATCTAAGAGGAAAACATCTGCTTATTACCATGGCTATCTTGCCCGACATGCAGAGGGGCTTTGGGAGGACATCCCCGGACAAATGATGGTTGGGATCGCAATGATGGTTGGATTATTCACGTCGCTTCGCTTCTACCAATCAATCGTTGTTGGTTGATTACCAGCTGAGTGTGAAGCATGGTCTTGCCACTAAGACGACAAGAAAAAATGATTTTGAACGAAAGACTGCCGAAATTCGACCCGAGTTCTAATGGATTGATGCCAAACCTTAGCCATAGTCACAATCGTTTTACCCTAGTGTCGATTGTCACTCATGCTCCCAAGACGCTCCTCGCTATCAGTATCTCGGTCAATATCATGGATGTTCAAGTGCGAAAGAGCAACAGTGCATGTAAGACCACCCTGTCAGACAGTACATTATATAAGACATGACTTTCCAAGATGTCTCTTACGAACTTGACTCTTCGAAGATATCATATCAGAAGCCGAAGATGTCCAAGCCGACACTTTAAAACGTAGCGGACCATTCTACAAGCAAAAATCTTCTGACGATTGTACTGCGTCCACGCATTTGGACTCCAACCACAATCGCGAGCAAAGCCATCTAAAAATCTATGATGACGACTAACGACCAAGACTTCAGGAAGGAAAAAAATCCAAGTTTCGCTTCCAAATCGCCATAAGCTTTACTAAGGCTGAGTTGACAGCCTAAAGCCCGCCGGTACAAAGCTTAAGATCTTTATTGTTATATGCGACAACCTACGGAATGATGGTCGATTGGATATAGACAGATATATGGCAAGAGAAAAGATACTTGACATCTAGAAGAGAACGATTCCAATCACTCCCCGAAAAACGTTTGGCGCGATGACAAGATGCAAGCAGTGATCTTAAACCTGTTGTCCGAATCGGTACGTTTGGGGAGTCTAAGACCCACTAACAAAGAGCAACAAGGAGTAGGCAGGTCTGGATACACTTTCGTATGGTATGACAGTAATTTTCTATGAATCCCGCCCTTATCTACCATTTGTTGACGCCGCTATTAACACTACAAGTCCTACAAATACACCCGTCACCATTCTAAATATGCCAGTCCTACTACAGCTACTGTCTCTAATACCGCTCTATCTCTTTTCTCTAGCCTTGTTCTTCACCGTCGTCACCGCTTCCAATTCGAGACAGAAAGACTAAGTCAAGCCAATACAGCGCCTGTACCCCTGTCAACACCGCCTGCCACGTAAGTATGATACGAGTATAAACGTTCTAGCAGGAA